GGTGCAGGTGCACACCGAGAGTTGCGATCCCGTTACCAGTCAGTAAAAAAGACAAAAAAAAAAAAAATCCCAATTCCCCTATTTTCTAGTGTAAAAATAATCTATCAGCTCAGCTTGTGGACTTCAGGTCAAGATGCTGAATGCCCTGAAAATGTAACCATACCTGCAATGGAAAGGACTAAGCCTAGCTCGAGTAGCTCTCAGTCATGGCTGGGGATCAGAATCATTTGTGGAATCTATGGGGGATAAATCTCAGCTACCCGTGTTAAAAAATAATATATTAAATGACTGGAATCAAGGGAACAGAGTAGAAGTTTAAATTTGTTTACATAAATCGAAGTTAGGAAATGGTCACTTTAAGAGTCAAGTAGAAAGTTTTTCAAAGGTCAGTAACGTGGTTAAAGCAATAATAAAATCCTTCCATTGATAAGAGCTAGCACCTCTCTGACATCCCATGAGCCCTCTGCTTGACTCTCTCTGATTCACTATTGGCTCATTTCCCAACAACTTGGAAGATATATCCATTTTCTTTTCTTTGCCTGTTTTCTCCCCCTCTGATCTACTGGCTGTTAGGAATCAATATGCAACAAATATTAAATGATTCTGTAACTATTCTGAATTCTATTTTTCAGTTATAAATTAATTTCTACTATTCTAAGGTCACATGTAGTCGTGTCACAAAGCTTTATATCTTTGTCATTGTTATATTTCTGCCTTCTTGGAAACAAGTTGAGAAACATTGTTTAAGCAAGTATTATGGTAAAGCATTGTGCAGGAGTCTGAGTAAAGAGCAGAAAAAGCCACAGCATCATGTACAGTGCATTTAAGGTTAGCTGGTGAGACAGTAAAAAGCTCCTCAAATATAAAGCAATATAAAACAAACACCAAGTGAGTGATAAAAAGATAAAATCTAAGAAAAAGAAAGCTCTAATCTGAAGGGTAAATATGACTCAAACAGGCAAGGAGAAAAATGAGAAGGGTAACATGGATTGAAGCCAGACAGCAAAGGGCTTTCAATACTAATATGAAGAACTCATCTGTAGCCAGAGAATACATTAAAGGTATTATTGTTGTTGTTGTTGTTGTGGATATAAAAAATTCAGATGTTGTTTTGGTTTTTAAAGCAGTGAAATAACAGAAAATTTAAGCTAATCTGTTTTTCTTAAAAGAAATCTTTAAAAACAGATGATGGTTAGTTTTTAGGTATGAAATGCCACAATGTTATGGATAAAAGAAACTTCAGTAGCAAGTCTCCAGTGGTTTACTGTCTGAGTATGTTGTTAAATTACATTCCCCAAAGTGACATTATATTTTTCCCTTTCCATTCTTAGCTGTCAATAACCATAATGTTGGAATAATGGAATTAACATATTTACCAAATATAATAAAACATCAGTGATAGCTGTATATGACCACCTTTAATTTAAATTCATTCAATAATATCATATATAAAGGATACTCACAATACTCTTTTCTTTATTTAAAGCCCTGTATCTTGATGAACAATATTCAACAACTGCGAGTCCAGCTGGAAAAAATGTTTGAATCCATGGGAGGGAAAGAGGTGGGTATATTTTTACTCCTGCATTTGCCAGATACCTGCTTAGAGATCATTAGCAGCATATCTCTTTGCTATGAAAAGTGTCTTAACTTTTTACATGGTTTAGCTAAGAATAGGAAACGATAATAATCTAAAATCCCATTAGCAATTAAGGCAATTATTATCCACAACAAAATACTACATTAAATACATTAGAAGTGTGAATGGGAGGAGGAAGATAGTTATAACCTTTTTTCTTGTCTGTGTATATATATAATCATATATATATACGATTAAATATGCATCCATGCTAATGATCTGTAATATTCCACAGACTGTAAATGTTTTTTTACTGTATTGTATAATGTAAACTTGATACTGACATTTGTTCTGAAATATGCTTTGTGGTGCTAGTGGTTTTTGATGTATTTGGTAGTTTATTTTTCATATCAAAAAAGCTTTGCCAAAAATATGTTGTGTGCTGTGTCTGTAATGTGTCATGTCTTTGTCCAACATGTTTGACTTGCAATTCCATGAGCAGAAGAAGGAAGGAGAAAGATTCTTTTATGAGGTTTGTGATAGTAAGCATCTTATCCTTTACCTGGCTCTTCCTCTCCCTCTCCCACATCTAAAGCTCTTCCTACTTATTCTCATTTGCTTGTTTGGAACAGACAGACAGTGAAATACCAGCTGTGCACTTGCCTCTTCCTGCCTGCTGCAGTCTTTTCTTTCACAAACTGACCTGAGCATCTGGAGATTGAGGACTGGAGAAGATGCCCAGAGGGAGGGTCATGCAGCAGAAATTCTTCCCCTGCCCCAAGGAAACAATCCCAAGGGTTGTTTATATGTCAAAAATATAAGGATATTTCTGATCAAGATTTGTTTACATTCTTACTGTAGCAAAGTATATGAGATGTACGTGAAGCTAGATTGGCTCTTCAAAGCAAATATCCCTTTAATTTCTAAATTGACAAGGCTGCAAGTGCTTCTTTTAAAATGGTCTCTTCACCTGTGATGTTTCCTTTAACACCAAGGGGGAGACATGTACACATCCCCGCCCCCATGTGTGTTTCGTTTTCCATCTGTTGAAAAATGGACTTGCTATTTAACATCCTACAAATGGAAAGTACTAGAATACATGTGTAGATGGTGTGAAACTTACAAAAGAATGAACTTTCATGAGTTGTGCTTCTGTTGCAGTAATAAGCCTTCACTCCCCAAAACGTCTCAATGCTTTTTGCAAGGTTTGAGGGCATCAATCTTGTTTTTAAAATTCTGCTGAATTAGGTGAGCACAAGAAATTGGGGATCATAACTTGAGATTCCCTTTTTCATTTTAGTGGTATTTTATAATCAGATTTTAAGTCCACTTAACTGTTTTGAATAGTGAAGAAATTTCTGAGATCCTGTGGGAAATCCTATCTCCTATCAGTGAATTTTAAAACCTATAAATCATTTATGAATGAAGTTCTGTTTAAAATGCCATACTTTCAGCAGTTTCTCCTTTTGCTACTATTTCATTAGTATTCTATGTTTGAACTCTAATGTGAGTAATATATTGCTGAGCTGAATATTTTTGTTTATTGCTCNCACCAATCAAATATGGATTCCTTATTTCAGATAAAATTGCAATGTGAAATGTAGAGGTTTCACATTATAAATTTAGTTATAAATATATGACTAAATCACAGAGCTCCTCTTTTTATTGGAGAAAATAATGGCAACAAAAATACTGAGCTTGTTGTCTTCTCCCATTATAACTCTTGCAATATCTATTTGCTAAACTCCTAATACATAATATAAAAGGAGCAATCAATTAAATAAATGTGAAAGAAAATTAATGACAAGCTTCTAATAATATAATCTGTTGGAGGGACAGTATTGACCCTAGCTCCTTTCTTTTAATATATTTAAATATTTTTCATTTCTTTCCTCCCTCTCTTTACCCTCTTCTGTGTTTCTCTTATCTCCTTTCTATGCATAGTTTCTTTTCTCTAATTCTCTTCCATTTTCATCTCTTGTATTCTGTTGCTAGAAAAAGCTTTCAGCAGGCCTAGTCAGCCTTGGAATAGACAGGGATTGATGAAATGGCAGAAGGAGGCAAGATCTGAACACAAATCTGAGTGGAACATGTATGCTCCCAGACAAAAATAAGCTTAATTAATACAGAATTATGTCAGAGTTTCTGGTTATTATACTCAGCCTCCTCTAGGCACCAGAATCTCAAAATGATAGGCATAGTTCTTCTAATACAGTTGTTCATTCACACAGAATCTAAATGGATTCCTTAACTTGGGGCTTTTATAAAGATGAAGAAGGACTTGATTGAGAATGACAGAATTCACCCTTTGATAGAGAATTGTTTACAGCACTTGATACAGAAATGTTCAATGGCCTTTAAAGGTTATAGACAATGTGTATTAATGCCAATTCCCAGTTTCTTTTTCACAGTGGAACTGTTTATAAAACTTTGGCTGGTATTGCTTAGCAAAACTTTCCAGCCTAGACTTTATTCTTCTTTTAGGAGTTTCTTATGAGTTTGTCTCCCACTTGTTTGTACTAGGATGTGCATTTCTTGCTACAAAAATTAATTAGAAAATGATTGCTTGTGCACTTGCTCAAGATAGTTTTTATGCCATGTGTTTATTATTATGGCTTCTAACAATAGCTTCGCTTGCCTCTAATACTATCTGAAAAGTGCTGGCCGCTTGCAGGCATGGCTGCATGACGCTGCAGCTCTCTGCTGCTTTAACCTGATCACTGTGTTGAGGCAGCTATTCTTTCTCTACAGATGCAGCCTCTTTTTCCTCTGGGAACAGGAGAAGTGTTTAAAACCTCTTTTTTTTTTTTTTTTTGGTGGAAATATCCACTCTGTGTGTGGAATCCAGAGACAATCTTGGGATTATGTTGTTGACATAAAAAAACAGTCACTTGATCAGTCACTGTTAACAACTGCACACACAATATCCTGTGGGCCATGTTAGCACAGTTCTTTTCTAATGCTCTATTTGGAAAAAAAAAAAATCAAGAGAAAAGCAAACCACTAAATTTCTTCTCCTATAAAGTGACTTTGCAGCATGCTTCCCTGCATACAAATTAAGAGCATGTTTTGTCATAATATCTCTGATTCTTCTGGAGAACATAAAAAATAAAAAATAAGTCCAACAAACAATGAAGAAAAAGTAAGCTTTAGGAATCACATACAGAGTATTTTTTTTTAAGCACCTCAGGTGATTTTTTATGCATATAATTTTGGGAATCAGTATACTAAAACAGATAAAACAGCCAACCCATGTTATAGACTGACTTGAGCTAGAACTTAATTATTTATACCACCATCTCCATACTGTATTACCTGTCTCTTTATAACACAGTAACAGCAAAATGATTATCAGGATGCCCTGTAATAAAATTTTCATTAATTGGTGAATGATTGTTTTATTATCCTGTAATAATAGCTCAAATAGTTCAAAAGCAAAGTATTATATTTTAGCTCATATTATTTTAAAAAATTACTTCATGAATATAACTTGGTATATATCAATTGTAAATAAATACTGAGTCTGTATTCATCTTGTAACAAAAACATATTGCTATTATAGCCCATGGAAAGGACTTGCTTATGTTTCTTTAATCTGCAATCTAATTTGTACAAGCATATACAAAATTAAATAATTCAAAATTTAATTTGTTTTCAGGAAGTAATAAGATATTGGTTATGAAACCCTGCAGAACTTGTAATAATTGATTTAAAAGAATTATGACTGTGCTGTGTAAGCAGAAGATCCATTACTCCTTCACAATATTGTATTGTTACAATCATCTCAAGTGGTAGAACCCACAGTTATCCATAGGCCTGCTAACTACTACCAGTATTTTAAATTCTAGAAGTTAGCCATTATTAAGATATTTAGGGGAAAGTAGGAGATTGTTGGCTCATGTAAATTCTCACACTCTGCTGACCACAAGGCAGACCAGTTAAGGTACAATGGCTATGCTATATTTATTGATGTCTCAAGAAAGGATTGAATCTTCTGGTTCATTTCATGGTGGCAAATTTGCCTATGAGAGTAACTTTCACAGATGTCCAAGCTGAATAGGGCCAAGGAATCTGGAACATAACCCCAGTGTACATTTTAATGAGCAACTTGTTCTTTTGTTTCGAGTTGCATATTTATATTACTTAATTTTTAATGATGAATTTGGTGTGTCAATTAGAAATTGCATCTTACTGCCCAAAAGTATGTGCATGTAGCTTATTGAAATTCATCATAAATCCTATTAGCTGATATAGACTCGGTCACTAGCTAAGCAGCCCCAGACCAGAGAAGAAAGAAATTAACTTCCATCATTTTTCATTTGGCACTATCCTCCCAACCTTATATGAGCTGAAGCAACAAGGGATTGAAGATCACTGCTTCAAAGGAAATAATATTCCTTGCCAGTAGTTCTTGAACTTCAGCATGCGTAAGAATCCCCTGGCGAGCTTACTAAAGCACACATTGCTCAACTCCACCCCCAGAGCATTTGACTCAGTAGGTCTGGGGTGGGCCCAAGTGATTTGCATTTCTAATGCATTCCCAGGTGATGCTGATGCGACTGGTCTGGGGATCACACTTGGAGAATTACTGCTCTGTGTATGCTTTCAGAACAGAAATTAGGTAATTAGAAAACAACTCAAAAGACCCCTTTTTCTTATTTGCACAACACTTCTAACTGACCTACTCTCTGTGTTTTGAATCTTGAGAATACATGAGATTTAATGTGTTTGTACAGACATTGGGACAATATGCAATAGAGAAGGCAAATATCTGTATTAAAGAATATAATAATCCTAAAATATAGATGGTCAATTTGCAGTCATGTACAAAAGTTTAGCATTTTATTAACATTCTGGACTTTATGCTTATATTTTATACATAATTCTATAAACAGTAGTGTTATAGTTGCAAAGAGGCTAAACTTTATGTTCAGGTTTCTGATCTGTTTCACCTTTTCTCCTTAATGTAAACAGAGATATAATTT